AAAAATCAAATGATATTATATTATAGAACTTAATTAAATTTATTTGTAAAAATGAAATGTATTAATTTGAGATTCTGATTTATACTTTTGATTATGAGAAATTTAAAAAAATGCCACTTTTCAAGTGCCATTTTATAAAAATGCCACACTTTTGAAATCTTTACAAAAATGCCACTTTTTCAAAATTTTTTTTTTATATTATTTATGTTTGGGTTAATTATGTTCTTTAGGGTTTAGTTTTGAGTGTTTAGGGGGTTTTATGTGTCAAAACATTTTTTAGGGTTTAGAATTGTAAGATATAGGCTTTATAAATATATAATTAGTGACATTTTTGTAAATAAACACCCATAAGTGGTATTCTTGCAAATGTTCACACAAAAAGTGTCATTTTTGTAATTGCCCTTTTGATTATTGTAATAGAATGAATGTTAACATCATAATATACTATCTATCTAAAAAAATACACATTATTAAGTACAAAATTTAGAAAATATGATTATTCACAAGTTTATGATACATATTATGATACATTTGAAAAGAGTTATGTTATGTGTACATAATTAATTATCCTGTTTATAATTTTTCACAAGTGTTGGATACCTAGAAAAAAATTATTAATTTTTTTAGACGTAATAAGTAGAATATAAAATCACTAAAACCAAAACAATTATACATATATACATAATTATATATGATTATTAGTGGGACAATTACAAAAATGCCATTCTTTGTGTGCACATTTGCAAGAATGCCACTTAAGGGTGTCCATTTACAAAAATGCCACTAATTATAGATTTATAGAGCATATATCTTAAAATTCTAAACCCTAAAACATGTTTTGACACATAAAATCCCCTAACCACTCAAAACTAAACCCTAATAGAACATAATTAACCCAAATATAAACAATATAAAGAAAAAATAATTTTGAAAAAGTGGCATTTTTGTAAAGATTTCAAAAGTGTGGCATTTTTGTAAAGTGGTATTTGAAAAGTGGTATTTT